GCCTGCTGTCAGACTGTCTTGTTTAGACAGTCTGCTCAAAGCCAAATGGCTCCTTCCAACAACCAGACTCGAGCTCTTTCGTATCAGTCTATTTTCTGCATTAGCCGCCATAAGCCAACAATCCCAGCCATTAGAAGTGGGTTAGAAACTTTGGTATTCTCAAACAAATCAAAATGAAAAATGACCTTTGCCAAGTTAGGCTTGTGCTGAGCTTCAAGTGGTGGAAAAAATACCCCATTTGATATCACTTTTCTGACCTTCTTTCCAACCTACTTGGCATCGTCAACCCAGAAGTAGGTTTCTGTGTCTGAAATACATGAACTGACAAGTGTGGTTTATTTCATATGGAGATTTATAGGGGATAATGAAAGCACCTCGGAGACAGAACTGTTAGTGAATGAATCAGCTGTGGCCCATACGTTAGTGCGCGGCGCTTCACATAAACACCGATCTGGCCTCGTCATGCAGGGCGAGCTACGGAGATGGTTTAAGATGTAAACAATTCCCGAGGATCTGGGTCACTGCGTATGTGTGTGTGCGAGCGAATGTTTGGGGTGAACGGGATCATCAGATAAATCCAGACTCGCTCCGTGTATCTATGAGGCACTTGTTTCCCAGTGGGCAACTTACAGAAACAACACAGTCAGCTCTGGGATGATTGGAAATGGTGTTTTCCAAACCCAGACTGCAGGCGTTTCCTGGCGCTGAAACAAAGCCACCTAACTGAATTTCTCCATGCAACACACACACACACACCCCTCGCCCCAATGCGCTCTCATCAAAACATGAAAACTTCAAAGCACACCTAGCATTTTGCTTGGCAGCGCCGATCGTCGGGTTCAAATCATTACCAGCACGGTTTACAGCATCAGCAGAAGTTCTGAGATCAGAGGACTTGTAGCCTTTTTTTGAGTGTCCTCCAGTTCTTGATATTGGCTTGTGCTTTCACAGAGCTTGACTGTGTGCTGTTTGCGCTCCAGCAGTGCCTCCTCTCCAACTCATCTGGGTCAAGAGGCGAGGCTGGAACTGCCATTCACGCAGCCCTGTCATGCCTTTATGAGAGCTAATATTCACATGTTGTAATGCCGCAATGAGTTCAAAGATACGCAAGCAGCCGAGTGCCAAGCAATACTTTAGCAACGCGCTGGAAGACTCGCGGTGTTGTTTCATGCACAGCGTAGATTCTTGGCCATGGCTGTGATTTGTAATTTCCTCAGATGTTATGAGGTTTAGTTCTAATTGCTTTCCATACATGTGAAATGAATGATAATGAGTGAAAGTAGACAGCGCCAGTGACTTTATGTCTTAGTCGGAGGCTTCGTTTGCGATCAGATGTAAACTTTGATCAAGTGTTTGGACCGAGATTTATCAGACTTCATTGTTTCTCTTTGAGCGTAATTACTGAACACGTGTTGTGAACATGATATAATACATGTCAAGGACTAAGCAGCAACGACAAGCCGTACACTGTACAGAAGTGCATCTCTGTAACCGCTCCAGCAACTTGTGTGTCCACAAAGCTTTTTCTTTGGCCACCGCTAACATATTCTTACATGACTTTATGTGGGCTTAACGAGTGAGTCAGATCTGATGATTGATATCAGTGTCACGTCTGCGTGTTAATGTGCTGGAATTGTGCTTTTGGATGGATGGATGGATTTGGGCGATACTGGGTGTGCTGTAAAAACATCACCCCAGAAAGTCACTTCATATATCTGTTACTGAAACTTTAGCATAATCTAATTTCTGTCGTTTGCTTTGGAGTTTCCTGTAACGTGGGCAGGTAGATTTACTGCCCCCTGGCTGGCTGCAGCTCTGTACCTGACACACAGGCGTAGGAAG